GTTTTCTTTGCAGGAGAGATGCATGACGAGATGACGCGCACTCTGGCCCTTGATTGACATATTCTCCTGTTGCTGCAACATCTGTGGTTCCGTCTCCTCTAAGAGTTTCTTCTGCAATGTGGTAAGCTCGAAAGATGTGAGGATACTGCTCCTGGAGTCTCCGCTGGCGGTGACGCTGTTCAGAGACACCCTCGCGAAAGTCATGTTCAGACACTTCGAGGTTGGCTCTATACTGTTTCTGCCGAGCCACTTGGCGACGATCAGCACCCTCGCTGTCGACACTGCCCTGGTGCTGGATGTTGGATACCGGGAGGCGACTCTGATCCCGATCTTCAAGGGGATACCGGTGCTCAAGGCCTGGCAAGCGTTGCCTCTGGGTGGACAAACTGTCCACGAGTGAGTCGCGCCTTTCCCTCTCTCGCGTTGAGGTACGCCCGGCAGGAGCGCGCACGATTCTATTTCTCTCGCGATTCGTAGGAACTTGGGAAAGTACTTTCGCGACGCGGCAAGCAGCCTGGACTTGTCCGAGAAGATGCTGGAGGACATCAAGGTGAGAATGTGTTTCGTAACCACGCTAGAGAGAGCCGCGAAGCTAGGGACCGAGGCCGCTCCGACTCCGCCGCCCGACGTCACGTATCCCGGTGTCAGGAGGCTCTTGATACCCGGCGAGATCAGGGAAAAGGCTTTCGAGGTACTGTGGGAGAGGGACAACGATAATCTCTCGCTGCCCACTATGATACTCGACGCTATCGTTAAGGTAAAGCCCGGTCTCTACCGTAACTTTTTGTTACACCGTGCACAACCGTAACATTTCCATTGCAATTCTGCATCCGTAAAACTGTACGAAAAATCACGCGTTAAAGACTGAGTTATGATGGCCGTAACTGTTAACTTATGCCAGAACCGGTAAAGTTCGATACTGGGATTTCAATGCTTTCGTTCAGAAACCCATTATGAACGAAAGCATTGAAATCCCAGTATCGAACTTTACCGGTTCTGGCATAAGTTAACAGTTACGGCCATCATAACTCAGCCTTAACTCTCGGGCAGATCATGCGTTTTCTATTTCCAACTTGGACTACCTTTCTGTTGAAACTTGCACTCGTCGTGGTGCAACAGAATTGTCGAAGATATACGTGTATGCATTTACGTACAGCGGAAAATGCCTGCGCAAATCGCAGTGCAATATAATCGCGCCAGATTTGTAGCAGCGCCTACTGCTAGTAATACATTTAGCAGAATTCAACAAGAATTACGGCAGATGCTTGCACGTTCTTTTCTGCCGGTCGGATCTGTACTCAAAACTCTGCCGCAAATGTCCATGAAGAGTTTAACGCGATCTGCTGTTATTCTTCTGTCAGGCAGATACTTCGATATTGTTTTCACATTTCCGCTGCATGTCTACTTTTGAGCGAATAGTATAAAATTTTACAGTAGCTTCTTACAGCAGACTGCTGCAATAGTAAGTACTT